CCAAAAAAAACTTGGCAGCGGTGGGATTCGAACCCACGCCCCCGAAGAGACTGGTGCCTTAAACCAGCGCCTTAGACCGCTCGGCCACGCTACCAGATATTAGTCACTTCTTACAATATGTATTTCCATTGGAACTGAAACACCTAATTACATTTCGTATATATTTTTATATTTAATAAAGATAAAATACTCTTAACACAATTTTGTTTAAACAATTACTTAAGTGTACCCAACATTTATACTTTATCTAAATACAATTCATATCGTAGCATCAATTTCTAATATACAATTTTTCTCGTATTTATATCTCTCTACAATCGTTACTATTTATTTTATCCTTCTGTTTGTCACGACGAAACATCCTTACTTAACCTTAATTAAGCTTCACATGCTAAAAACAATATCGGATTTGCTGGCATATTTTACGTCATTGAATTCGTTCTCACAGCATGTTTTCTGGCATCTGCGGCGTATAGCAATCCAAGATTAGGATCCCGCCGAGAGACAAATTCGTAGTTTGTTGGCCACATGTCGTGGGCGTAGGTAGCATGGATTAAACAAAGGCAGTCTCCGGGCGGAGCTTTCGATCCGCGTTGTTGGCGCATGCGCAGAAAGTGTCTTGCGTCCCCCACGCGCGTCACCGTTCTGTGAACCCAGCATGTGTTGCATAGAAGCGAGAGGAACTAAACGCATCCCTATTTTTTTTCACGCTTCGCGACGGCCATTTTGTACGTCGACTTAATATTCGCCTCTCATTTTCTCCCTTCGCATCTGTAACTTTATATCAGCACGATGAAGTTCAATTGTCGCGCTGGTGGTCTTTTGTTCTCGCGGGCTCGGACTATATAATCGAGTCAGTTAGCGGCCTTACGTAGCGAATACTAACGATTCCGGAGCGGATTAGTCATCGATCGGTAACAATGACCGATCCCCGTCCTCGTTGGCGACAGATAGATTATGGAAATCGAAAGTTAATCCAATCAGATCTTGCTCCGTGCTTGAGCAGTGTTTTGACAAAGTATAAACAGTTGTAATAAGGTTTCATCACCTGCGTTTGCTAAACGGCGCTCGATAGTCTTCCTTATGAATACACTTTTCTTTTCTTTTTGCTTTTTAACGGAGTAATAACACACGTAACACGAAAAAAGTCAAGAAAATTGAATTTCCCCAAGATTTTCTCAGAGAAGATTTTAACCAGTTGCTTTGTGTTTTTAGGTTCACATTTAACCCTCGTCTGGATAGTCTATGCAACATAAACGGACAATCGGAACTTCTTGAAAATATATTTATCGGGCTATATTATTCTGCGGTTTCTGGAAAAATAGCTCGCAGACTCTGATGAACTCCTACAGTTCACTTATGCAAATGATCAAATTATTTAAATACGTTTTCTTCGTTTCCGAAAAATCTCTAACACTTTTTTCTTACAGGACTGTAATTCAGTTTTTGGATTTTTCAGAAATTTTGGATTTTTCTACTGTTCAAAATTAAAAAAAAAAGACCATTGGACGTATTTCACTCGGATAAGGGTTATCACAAATGCATTACAACAGATAGAATTAAAAACGAAATTTATTCTTCGAATAAATAAATTGTTACGTTCCTTATCTTCCGAAGTTAACTACGTCTATACTTGCAGCGTTATTCGGCAATTTTTGAAACATTCTTCGTCTAACCACTAACCGTAATAGTTCTAAAATATACTTCTACCCATGGTATATAACACATGTCATACCTACGTTCGCGTCAAACGAATGTCATCGTGAACGATGTTTAATTAAACATTCGACGGTATTTATAGTAACGATAAAGGAGTTGATTAATCGAGACGGGAACCATAATGGAAAGTCGGAGTGTGGCGGTGCGCGCGCGAATGAACGAGCGGGTTGCGACCGCGTGTACGGGCTCTGAACAAGGCGTAGGAGCATTCTCGCGGTGAATTAATCATTTCAACAGCTGCTGTCGCATTAGCGAGAGCGGATAAGACAAATGAACGTCGTGGAGCTTGTTAAGACGTAATCCGAGAGATGTGTCTGCGTCACCTCCCGCTTCCACCTTCGTCTCCGTCATCCTTCGCCGCCACCGTCACATCCGTCGTCTCATCCGGGATTAGACGCCTGTGTATCAGGTCGCCATTTTGCTTCACGATCCTTCTTTGTTTACAGAACCAACCACCATTATTCTTTTCTCGCCTCGCCTCGCCTATTTCACCTTCTTTCCCATCCAATGACACAACTTTCGTTCTTCCTAATCGACCTTCTTTTTTTTTTGTAAGTATTTCCCTGTTTCACTGATTAATTCGGTTTCGGATAGGTTCGGGAAGGTAATATCGTGGGAATATGAGATTTTTTGGCGAGAGGGCAACTGCTTTCAGGAATGGACCAAATAGGGTTGCTATTTATAAAGTCACTAATTTGCAATAGAGAGCATTAAAATCCCAGATTTTTCTGATTGAAACACGGACACTTTGTGTTTTAGATTAATTACGATATTCCAAGGTAAAAGCTTCTAAACAGTTTCCGATGCGAACGCAACACTTGGTCACTAATTTAGAATAGAGAGCATTCAAATCTCAGATTTTTCCGGTTGAAACACGGACACTTCTATTTTCTAGATTACTTACGATGTTGCGAGATAGAACTTCTTTTTTGTCGTTCTGACGCGAAGGTAACACTTGAAAATCACTCCTTGTCCGGGCAGAGAAAGAGCATCGGAAAACTCGGATCGCTGCAGAAAATCCTCCCGGAAGTCCTCGGACGCCTTAACCCTTTGGCTACGGCAAATTTTAGTACACAACGCGCGTGGCAAATTCAAATATTCCACAACGGCCGCAAACTTTCTTTTTCAGCCGTGTCATTTTAAAATTTGTTTCACTGAATCAACGTGGAAGAGTGCAGAGGATCAAATTAACGCTTGAATTAACATAGAAGTGCGCCAAAAGGCTCCAATAGCACGATACGAACAAATTTTCAAAGGGCGCCAATGGTAGTGAAAGGGTTAAAAACTAGAGCAAATCCGGGGAAACCCGGACGGATGGTAACTCTAAGACCGAACAACCCTGTCGTAAAAATGAAGAAAGAATGGAATGACCAAGTTTCTTGCTCGAATGATCGCGCAAAGACTATGAAAAGTAGGTTTAGATTATAGGAAGAGGTAGCCTGACATTTGTCAGGAAATGCAAAAGATACGATCTTCGAGTTCGCCTTCTTTTCAGGTTGAACGTCGTCGAACACACGATGTCCTTTCGTCGGTACCCACGGATTGAAAGCTCTCCGATGACAGATAGCGTGAATGCGGGCGCCATTGATCGACGTTCACGCAAATCGCGCGGACATGACACGATCGTCATCTCGTTTCTCCTTTTGTCATGGAAAAAATCTGGCCACGGCACACAATCCTATACCGTTGCATTTCACTTTTGCAACCGGTTCAGCTATTATATTTCTCGTTCATCGTTCATCGATGAAATCATGTTTTTTATTTGTGTTGTTTAAAAAAAAATATTTGGGAATATTTCTCGTGGTTATTAATCATCCGCGATGCTTCCGCGGAAGAAATGATTAGTTTGCAAGTATTAATTCGTTGATGGATGAATAATATTTTTCAATATTAATTCTCGAATAATAATCCATCGACGAGTAATATTTTTCAATGTATTATT